TATCTCACCTCGTCTTATACAAATAAATTTCTAAAATCTAGCTGTACGCTTGTTTGTCAGCGTTTGTTGCCTGCACTTAGTTCAACATATAGGGTAGTGGTTGGCTTTTCACAATGCATTTATACGTCAATGATCTGTTAAAAATTTATAAAAGCACTTAAGAACCCTTTTCACTTTTAAATCCTATTGATGCAGTAATATTAGCAGGCACTACACTTACAACATGTTTGACTACTCATTGCAACTATATGCATGTTCACTGTAGTTTACAATTTGTTTTACAGAAGAGATCCCAGGTTAAGCTTCGAACTCAGCCGTCTTTTCTTTAGTAAACGCTGGTTTGGATGGCTCTGTTCCCAACATGGGCGACCCCTTAACAATAAGATTAATATCAATTAAAATTATGAATTCAATTGAATTTTGACCTCCTCCATTTTTTCGTCCTTTTTCTTCATCCAACGCAACAGTGGTCTTGGATCAACGTCGTCCAGATCTTCAGGCAATTTCTTGTCCTTTGTTTTCGGCATGATAAGAACAATCCCAGCCGATATCAGCGACATTACTACTATTGCCAGGGCAGGCGCTGATTTGTGTGTAGCTTCCTTACAAATTAGCGTAGTTGCCATTTCAAAAAAAATTTCTAAAGAAATGGCCAACAAGTCTTTTAAGGTACGGTGCCGCTACTGAGCCGAACCCAGGAATCCGGCGACCCCGCAAAAAACATTTCGTACAGATGTTGGTGTCGCCTTAGTATAAAGTAAGGGTTGAGAGCACCATACTATTGTATTGTATATCTCGGCCATAAGGGGAAATATCATAGATATTTGCGGACTGACTGAAAATGATGGTTTACGATGAATCTGATTGAATCATATTCTATCAAGAGATTTGATTTGTTCACCATTTTCCAAAAGAGCTGTGTTTGATTTAAACGATAATGCAACATGAACTTACAGCTTCCTATGGCGTAGATTAGCACCATCTTTCATAAGATGAGTGAAGCTTGTTTATCATTTACAAAACATGACGGAAACGTTATCAAAAACTTTGCGGCAATCCAGACTCTGACACAACCAACCGTCAAAATGTCAGTCCACTGACAAAACACTAATGCTTTTGGTTTGGCACCGAGATACGATTAACTCCATTTGCTTCAAATCACTCAAACCGTTTATGTGGTATATACATTGAGTGACATTTACAGGAGATTTGGATCGTTCGATGAATTGGTCAATGCCTTGGAGGCTTCATGGAATCAAGAAGCAAGAAGTTGTCTCTGCATGAAAAATACACAGCGTGTTTCAAATGTCAGTTTGTTGACTTCTTTTCCAAACTTCGCAACTAATGAGCTAGTTTGATCCCAAGAATCGTAAATGGACCTCGTACTTGACTAAGGTTGGATTACTGCATGACGTCCTAAATTACCTTGACGCTGCCATTGGACATTTACCGTAACTGTTCAAAAACTTGCTTTGTGGGAAGTCTAGCATATCCGCGGTTAGCGTACTAAAAGGGTCTCTTAAACGCCAGCGTTTTTTTTTTTTTTTG